TCGGAGCCTCGGGAGCCTTCGGTGCTGCCAGGTCACGAGCCCGCTCGGCACGTGGCACGGAGGAAGGCGGAACCACCAGCTCCAGGGCACTCTGGCCGTGAGGAAGCCAAGGATGCTTCCAGGGAGCCGAAGCTCCTCGGGAACGGCGAGACGCGCTTCAGACCCGCTCAGGTTGGGGCGACTCCAGCAAAGAGCAGGTTTTCCGTACTCCCCAAAGCTGCCTCAACACCTGTCTCCAGCAAGTCTCCAAAGTTCAGGAAAACAAATTACACGTGGGTGGCGAACCCTGGGAAATGCTCTCGGGCTGTGAAGAGGTGGGTCAGCCCTCGAGCTTCCGAAAGCGCGAAGAAGGTCGCTGGTGGAGCGGACAGAGGTGTTAAACTGTCGCCAAAAGCTGACTTGGGAGCAAAGCTGAAGAAATCGGGACTGCAGACCAAACTGGGAGTTTCTCCCAGCAAGTACAAGTGGAAAGCCTCCAGCCTGCAGGCCTTGCCCTCCACTTCCAAGTCGGCGTTCAGCTGGCGATCCGAGGATCAGAAAAACCCTCCAGCCCCCAACCCTCCTCGAGCTGGCGCTGCCCCGAGCACTGCGCCCGTCAGTCTCGGGGGGCCGAGGTCCTCCTTGGGTGATGCCGTGTTGTCCAGTTACAAAGTGAAGAGTCGGACAAAAATCATCAGGAGAAGAGGAAGTTTGGGGTAAGTTGCTGGTTGTCTTTGGAGCGACGTCATCACGCTCGTTGTGGTTTTGTGTCCGTTGGCTCCACGGAAGTCACGGTTAGACGTATGAGTGGAATTCCAAGGGGGGTTGTTGTACCCTGCAAGGTGTATTTGCCTGTCCCTTTCCAAGTGCGGTGACTTTGTTCTGTCTGGAGGCATCTGGGGTTGGAAGGCCTCAAGTTTTAATTGTTTTAGAAGTTTCATAGAATCATGGAATGGTTCGAGTTGGAAGGGACCTCAAAGATCATCCAGTTCCAACCCCCCTACCATGGGCAGGGACACCCTCCACCACACCAGGTTGCCCAAAGCCCCATCCAACCTGGCCTGGAACACTGCCAGGGATGGGGCAGCCACAACTTCTCTGGGCAACCTGTGCCAGTGCCTCACCACCCTCAGAGTGAAAAATTTCTTCCTTATATCCAATCAATCTACCTTCTATCAGTTTAAATCCATTTCCCTTTGTCCTGTCACTCCACACCCTTGTCCAAAGCCCCTCTCCAGCTTTCTTGTAGCCCCTTTAGGCACTGGGAGGTGCTGGAAGGTCTCTCCGGAGCCTTCTCTTCTCCAGGCTGAACAGCCCCAACTCTCCCAGCCTGTCTCCATAGCAGAGGTGCTCCAGCCCTCGCATCATCTCCGTGGCCTCCTCTGGCCCCGCTCCAGCAGCTCCATGTCCTTCTTGTGTTGGGGAAAGTTTGTGTGACTCTGAGTTTAATCTTACAAGCAGAGCTGGGTTTTCTTCTCGTCTCCCATCCCTCTTCTCCGAAGACTTTGCTGCAGCACTTAGGAGGCTCCTCCCTGACCTGAATAACAGACTGATATCCGAAGGGAAGGAAATAGCCATCTTTCCTTAGGGATTTGTTTTCAGACTCCCATAACCTTGTTGCGTTGGGGGCTGGCGAAAGGAGAAGTGCCTCGAGTCGCCGCGCTGTGAACGGTCTGTCCCCGTAAAGCCTTGTGCAGACCCTGGGGTGGAGCGGGGATGGGAGGGGAGCTCCACGTGCCGGGAAGAAGCGCTGTCCCTGATGTTCTACTGGCACTTTCCTCCCTTGAGTGCCATCCTTTTGTGCTGTCCACCAGGAATTCAAAGTGTCCTGCCTTCTTCTCCTGCTCTTCCTTCTTGTCGAGTCAGTGCCAGGTCTGTGGCTGTCGTAGCTACCTTGGGAGAACGTGCTGTGGCAGACTAGCAGATACTCCTGGGGTCTCCAGGACCAAGTTCTCCCCCCCGGCCATGTCCAATAGGGACAGAGTACAGTGGGAAGGTTGTAAATAAAGCTTGGTGGAAGGAAAAGGTGTGTGGGTCAAGTTATCTGTAAAAGGCTGGAAGTTGAGGGGAAACAGATAAGAGATTGGGACCAAACTCCGATGTGTCATGGAAGTGCCGTGAGGGCTTCGTGACGTTGTGTTCCTGGTGGGAAAGCTGTTTTGTGCTGGTTTTCTCGGTGGGGCTGGATGCAAACCCAGGCTGTGCTGCAGGGAAGGGCTCAGTGGGATGGGGTGGGGGTTGGTGGCACAGCTGTGTGACCTCTGCTTGATCACTGAATTCAGAGGTGCCCTCACCATAGTGGGCACTTGGTTTGGTTCCTTTCTCACTGCAGTGACTCCAAGCCTGAGTTCTGGAAAAATGAGGACCGTGACCTGAATAACTGTTCTAACTGATGCAGCGAGCTGGTGGGGTGGCACTGTCTGAGGATCTAATGCCTTGACTCCTGCTTTCTGTTTCCCAGCTGCTCCACTCAGCACTTCGCAGCAGGTTTCTGTCCTTGTCTTGCCCTCCTGCTTTGCTGAGGTGTGTTGGCCTCAGAAGATCACTCTGGAGCAAGGTGCATGGAGAAGCTGGGATTGTTTTGGATGTTTTGGCAGTTAGGGAGGTGAGACCCCCTTCATCTCGCGACAGGGCAGCATCTTCTCCCCCACGTCTGTTGAATCACAGAATGGTTTGGGTTGGAAGGGACCTCACAGACCATCCAGTTCCAACCACCCTGCCATGGGCAGGGACACCCTCCACTACACCAGGTTGCCCAAAGCCTCATCCAACCTGGCGTTGAACACTTCCAGGGATGGGGCAGCCACAGCTTCTCTGGGCAACCTGCTCCAGTGCCTCACCACCCTCAGAGAATTTCTCCCTTAGATCCCATTGAAATCTCCTCTCTTCCAGTTTAAAGCCATTTGCCCCGTGTCCTGTCACTCCACACCCTTGTCCAAAGACCCTCTCCAGCTTTCTTGTAGCCCCTTCAGGTACTGGAACGTGCTGGAAGGTCTCCCTGGAGCCTTCTCTTCTCCAGCCTCAACAACCCCAGCTCTCTCAGCCTGTCTTCATAGCAGAGGTGCTCCAGCCCTCGGAGCACCTCCGTGGCCACCTCTGGACCCACTCCAGCAGCTCCATGTCCTTCTTGTGTTGGGGACCCCAGAGCTGAAGGCAGCACTGCAGGGGGGTCTCACAGAGCAGAGCAGAGGGGCAGAATCCCCTCCCTGACCTGCTGCCCACTCTGCTCTGGATGCAGCCCAGGACATGGTTGGCTTTCTGGGCTGCCAGCGCACGGTGCTGGCTAATGTTGAGCTTCTCATCACCCAGCACTCCCAAGAGTGAGCAGAAAGGAGAAGGGAATGAGTTGAGTTGGGCTGTCATACCGCGTTGTCCAGCTGTGCTTCGCCAGAAATTCATCACACTTGCCTGTTTGCTTGCAGTTTTATGTTCTGTGCTTCTTCTCATCGTTGAGTAGAGGAGCAGCATGGAGCAGCGTGGAGCTTAGTGACCCAGCTTCTCTCCTCAGCTCTAGGCACGGCGATGAAGTGCGTTTCGGTCACCTCTCTGCCCTCTTCTAACCATGTGGTGTTTCCCTTCGCAGTTCCCTGACGGATAAGAAGAACAGCTCCTCGCCTGCCGCCCCTCTGAAAAGCCACTTCCATCTCCGGAAGAAAAACTCCCCGCGGGGGAAACCTTCCGTGACGCCAAAACGCTCCTCACCCAAGGGCCTGGTGCAGATCACCAAGCACAGGCTCTGCAGGCTGCAGGTCTCCACCAAGGAAGGTAGGAACAGCCGTCCCACGGGGTGACGGGGCTCTTGGATTTGGGAACAGGTTACCAGGTTCCTCCAGGAGATGAACGTGCTGTTGGCGGTCCTGGAGCGAACATTGAGGAGACGTTTGGCTGGAGGAAGACTTCTGCCTTAGCCCAGGGCTGGCTTGTACTTTGACATCTCCAGACAAGGCCATTTTAAAGCTGCTTCTTGCTTTTAATGTGGTTTTGCTGGGCTTGCAGGTGTCAAAGAGGCTCAGGAAAGGAAGAGGATGGCGGAGGCAGTGATACATCTGTAAGACTAATCTCTCTTTTTGCACCGGGTAGGAGCTCGTGCGTGTCATGAGATACTCCTCTAGCACCTACAGACCTACCTGATGCACCCGTGTCCCAGTGCCATGTCCGTGGGCTCTAGGTTTTGTTTG